ATCATGTGGCTAACACAGACAAGAATTATGGGCTAATATAAGTTATAAGAGTTAATAAGAAGCCTGAGCTACTAGGCCAACCAATTTATGATTAATGTAGACCTCTGTGTATTTCTTTGGGACTGAATGACTGTGGCACCAGGTGGGACAGAAAATTCGGTCAATACACACCTAGTTCTTCTAATCCTATCAAAGGGTTCCACCTCCTGGTGACTGAGCATTCAAAGATATGACCCTATGGAGGCCATTCTTATTCAAACCACTATAGCAAGTTAAGAACTGTCTAAGATGCCTTAGTGGTGAAGGGTTCCAATCGCTAAATTGATAACCTGAATTCCATGTCTAGGACTCATCTTGTGGGAGGAAAGAACCAACTTCTGAAAGTTACCCTTGACCTCTGTTGGTGACATGCATGCATACATACATACAAATACATACATACATACATACATACACGGGTGTGGTGACACATGACTTTAATCCCAACCCTTAGGAGGCAGAGACAGAACAATCTCTTGGAGTTTGAGACCAGCCTGGTCTACATATTGAGTTCCAGGACAGCTGTAGCTATATAATAGATAGAACTTGTCTCAAAAACAAAATAAATAAAAGCAACAACAACAACCCCCCTCCCCCACAAAAGCCTACTTTTGTTTTTTTCAATCATTTCCAGACTGGCGAGACAGCACAGAGAGTAAAGGTAAATAATTTATTGTGCAAACTTCACAGCCTGAGTTTGATCCCTGTAGCCCACAATGGAAAGAGAGGCCTGACCACATCATATATGTACTCACAGACACACACATTACACACATACACACATCTCAAAATTAGGCATGTGACAAGAACAGCAGATAGCTTATTCTTAAGGCATTAATGAAAGGGTCATTGGTTTGGTCACATAGCCCCTTCTCAGGACACACACACACACACACACACACAAAACACATAAAGGTAAAAATAACTTCTGTGAGCTGACATGGCACAATTAAATGGGCTGACAGCTCTCTGACAAAGCTGGCTAGCTGGGTCAACTACCACCACAGACATCAAAATGAAAAAGGACTAGATCGCAGTGAGGAACTGTGCAGTAAGACAGGAAAGAATGTCTTTTCTTGCCGCCTGGCTGGCTTGCCAAACATGTGATCAGCGGACGGTGACATGGGTCAGCTGTGTCCAGCTTCTTGGCCTCTTGTGGAAAGGGTTGATATAAAGGCAGAGTTTCAGCAAGGTGACTTCATTCAAAGCAAGTTGACAGTTCAGGTCAGGTACACAGAGGAGACTGATTGTGGGTCACATGAGTGAGGACACTCGGGACCTGATTTTTGTTTTTGGCAAAGTTTAATGGAGAAGGAGTTCAATGACTAGGGGCACAGTCTGGGTGTTTTGAGTGGCAGGTTTGGATGATGTAATCCCTTGCTCAGTGTTCATGTTCCTTCCTATGATGCATGATTTTAGTCATATGCACGCCCAATTATGTACAGGCATGAGATGGTAAATAGGGGATTCTCCCTAAAATCTCCCTTAGAGGACACAGCTTGCCTTACTGTACGTGTATACCAAACAAGTTTATGCCAGGCTAGCCCTCCTGTCCTCACTCCTACATGTATTAGGGGTATGTCTGAGTGAAGGCCATCTAAGGTTGATGGCCATTAAGGAGAATATATTCTATTATTCAGAGAAGAGTGTATACACAGCTCAATGCGGATGAACATTCTGGATTCCAACAGGTGGCTAGGCCCACTGTGCAGGAGAGTGTGTGCCCATGGCACATACAGATGAAGGTCCTAGGTTTCCGAGTGTCTTGTTAGAACAGGGGTACACAGTGCCCAAGTCGAGTGGAGTCAGGCTGTTAAGCTATTCCCTAAGCTTGCTTTCCTCACCAGGTCCTGGCCACTTCTTTCCACTTCCTGGCTGCCAGGAAGGAAACAGCTGCTCCCCTCAGACAATCCCACCAAGGCTGCATTGCTTTCCACAGGCTCCAAAGTAGCAGGACTGATCAAATATGGGATGAAATCTCTTACTATCAACCAAAAATAGACTTTCCCTCCTTTTAAGTTGGTTATCTCCGATACTTTGTTACCGTGCTGGAAAACTGGCTAACAGAGACCAGGATCAACATGGCACTTGTATAAAGGCGGAGACTTTAAGTAGTTGATGGTGATAAAAAGTATTTTCAGACACTAGTGCTGCTATGAAACGTTAGGGGCTGATCAATGCATTTTAAAGATATAACTGGCAAATTTAGTAGTGGCCTTGAATCTATGAGAAAAATATGATTGCTAAGGTAATTGTTCTCAGTCATAAATGAAGCTCATTCAACCTGCAGCCAATTAACTAGGCCCCTCCGCTTGTGACGTCTTGTAACCAGGCTCCTTCTTTGTGAGGCCTGGAACCCTGTGGCTGCAGGCAACAGCATCCTTGGTGATACACAGAGCCTATTGCTTCATGCATCTCCCCTAGGGATCTTAGAGATTTTCAAGGGCTGGTCCTGTTTCGGATTGCATGCTAGACATGTACACAGGGTGCTTTTGTGAAGCCCCAAGTATAATTAGGGTTTACAATGGCCAGGTTACCATGTCCACCCTTACCAGGATGCAGAATAAGGAAGGTGTGGCTGAGGTCCTGCCCAGTGCCAGATTTAAGTCCCTCACTGCCACATCTCTAAGAAGTCTAGATTTAAAGAAGTGAATGAAGATGAACTTAAGATGTGGAGGTTGAGAAATAGCTCTCCCGACTGACTGTGACGGCAAATAGATCCTCAGTGCTGGCCCCTGCATTCTGGAGACTTCTAGAGTCCTGCCTCTTTAATGATGCTCACCAACAAAACGCACACATTATTCAGAATAAATAAGTATAGTTCAAGAAGTTAATTATGGGGCAGAAGTCATAGCTCTGGCTAGGCATGACTGGGAGTTCCTATCTTAAATAATAACAGTAGGAAATGGAGCATTGTGGGTAAACAGGATCAAAATACATTGTATGATTTTCTAAAACATTAACACAAGGAAGAAAATATAAAGCTAAATTTAGCAGTGTAATAGTTGTGTTAGCTAAGTTAGAATTTACTATGGTGCTGTCTACCAGCAATTTCCTGGTGGGGTGTAGCTCAGTGATAGAAGACTTACCTAACATATGAAAAGCCTTGAGTATGTCCCCTGCCCTGAAAACTTTTCAAAAATCAGTATGCTTTTCCTTATACCATGTATCTGTGGTAAATACAAAATTGTACAAACGCACATACAAACTTATAACATGGATATAGATGAGTATAAACACTAAATATTTATAAGTAGTTTGATGATTTGTAAGTTGTTGTTTGGTTTTCTGGCCTTTGCTTGTGGCGCTGGTAAGACAAACAGAATATCTCGTCAGCTTTTGTCTTCAGAGCTGAGCAGGGGACTGACTGGAAGTAACTGACAGAACGGTGGCAAATGGCCAAGACGCTGTTCAGAAGAGACTAGAGTGGTGTAAGTTCTGACACAGGCTTCCCATTGCACAGAGTTAAAGAAATGCTTACAGGGGGCTGGAGAGATGGTTCAGTGGTTAAGAGCACCATCTGCTCTTCCAGAGGACCTGAGTTCAAATTCCAGAAACCACATGGTGGCTCATAACCATATGTAGTGGGATCCTGGTCTGGCATGTAGGTGTACGTGCATATAGAGCACTCATACACATAAAATAAATAAATCTTTTTTTTTTTTTTAAAGAAATGCTTACAGGTCCTGAGAGAGTCCAACAGAAGAAAGACCTGCAGGATCAGCAAGCTGTTGCGTTGCTGGGCTGCACTGTGTGTTGCAGTTAACTGTCACTAGTCTTTAAATATAAGGAGGATTTGCATAAACAGCACCTACACAAAGAACCCCACATAGGGTTTACTAAGGATAAGAAAAAAAAAAGGAAAAAAGTCAACTGTCCTTTTTAAAGAAGAAAAGAACCAAGTGATCACCCGGTGTTCCGGATATCAGGTACCAGGCTGGGATGAATTTAAAGGTGTCTTTCAGCTCTGTTATGCTGCAAAACCTGACACTTCAAGAGTCTGAAAAGAAAACCCCTGAAATGTGTTCTCACTCACAACAGGAGGAAAGAAAATTAGGTTAACATGACCAGAGAGGCAGAGGACTAGAGCCTCAGGAGCAGGCCCCTGATAGTGACAGCCCTACGGGTCGGCCCAGCCCTGAGGAGGTGTCAGCTTTTCCTTAGGGTAGGCAGTAGGACTCCGGTGCTGTGCACTGCCACGCAGACGTCCTGTTGTGGACACAGTGCCGTGTCTATGTTAAAGCTGACTGACTTGATCAGAACCTCGATAGTGGGGGAGTTGGATGGTGCAGAACCAGAGCCAAATTATCTTGAGCTATCTTTAATTTTCTTCATAGCCATCCATTGTCCATTTGACCAGGTAATACTTTCTCAAGTGTGTTAACTTGGCAGAACCCTAGCTTCCACCAACCCCAAAGCTAAGAATGCCATCAGATAGTATCTGAAACTTACAGCACAGACTTCCCAACTGTGTTATACAGACAGTCCCTGGTGACGTTTTCATCAATGCATTGGAAAATGATTTGATTTATACTTTCCTTTTCTTCTGCAACTACAAAAATGTCATGAATCAATTTCCATGCTCGAACACGCTATTTGGGGTAACCTGGATCTGTGTTCCTGGACCATGGGCCCTCACCTATGGCTCAAAAATAAATCCCAAGTTCCTTTTGGGTCCTATATAGGCTCTCTCAATCTTGTGATCCTGCATCTCGCACCCTGTACCCCACCACCCTGGCACCCCAGAAACCCCGTGCCTTCCATCCCCTGAACTCTGTGATCCTCTGGGGCACCCGAGGTCGCAGATTTACTCGTGCCGGAAGTCCTGAAAGTGTCTCTATCCTTGCAAGGGAAGCTGCGCTTCACAGTCCCGGGCAAGCAACTTCTCTCAGGCTTCAGAAAGAACAAGGGAATTTTCAAAGGAAGTTCCGCCTTCCAGTCTGAGTGCTTCCTGTTTGGTAACTAAGGGCGCCTGGCTGTTGCTAGGGCCGCGGAACACAAACCGGCGGGCTTTGCAGACTCAGGCTGCACTCTCCAGGGAGGGTTTTTTGGGAGTCTGTCTGAGCTCCCTTTGAGACCGTGTATCATGAGTAGCGAGTTCCTATCCGAGCTGCCCTGGGAAGATGGGTTCGCTATCCCCGTGGCCAACCAGGAGAACAAGATGCTTGAGGATGAGGTGAGGAGGACCGGGTGGAAGTTAGGGGATAGACAGGAGAGGACCAGCTTGGCAACGGAGAGGGGGTGTGAGGCGGAGGGGTGAGGGTGGGGACTGGTTGAGAACGGCCAGGATAGCCAGATGAGGACCAGCGGGAGGATGGAGGACTAGGTGAGGACCGACTAGGATTCAGGTCCGGTGGGTATCCAGTGGGAATTAGGAGAGCGCCAGAAAAGACCCCTGGGGACTGGGTGCCATGCAGCCCAACTCTTCTGTGCCTCCCGTGCCATGGCCTCATCCCGTAAGTCTGATGTCTATCTTCCCCACTTTCCCTGCTGCGCCTATCAGTTGTTAGACATTTGAAAGTTTTATCAAAGCAGCGGTTTCTATTCAGGGTCGTGAAACCTGGACTCTCACTCCTCCAGCTCTTTCAGATGCCAGCTAGCAGCCTCCCCCATTCAGCTAAGGGCTGCAAGTGGGTTGTTGGTGTTTGCCTAGTAACCGCTGTTTACGCATGTGCACACACAAGACTCATGGGCATTAGTTTGCCTGCGATGCTTAAAGTGGCTTGGGTGCTTTCAAGGCGGAACATTTCAGTGAAATATGCAGTGTAGGAAGTGTCAAAGAGAGGATCAAGGTGTCACAGGAAGACAGAATATTTCACACTGTGGGAAGAACTTGCACCAACTACAATACATACAGTTTCAGCCTCCTGTTAGAAACAAAAACAAAACAAAAACACAAACTGCGAACGACTCCACAAAGTTTGCACATCTTTAGCAGCCAGCCTAAAGCCCCCACAAACTGGTCTTAGGGTGTGGGGACGAGGGCCCAAGGACGGACAGTGTGTACAAACTGACGAAGTAGAAGAGAACGTTTTTCTGCCCTTTGAATAATGAGAACGAAAAATCCCTCTAGTGGATCTGCTGAGAGGAATGGGAACGGCAGAATGGCGCATGTGTTTGGAATGTGCAGTGTGGATGTGAGTGATTAGTGTGCATGTGTGCAGGGGTCAGAGGTCAACCTTAGGTGCCATTCCTCAGGCTCCCTCCACTTTTCTTTTTGAGGCAAGGTCTCTTATTGGGATTTGTGGTTTCCAGATTAGGCTAAAATGGTAGGCCAGTGAGTCTGAGTAATCCTCCCATCTCTGTTGGGATTACGAGAGCATGCCACCATGCCCGACTTTTTATAAGTATGTTCACAGAGCAAACAAACATTTACCCGCTCCTTATTTTTCCTGATCGTGTTTACCAAGTATGCGTCTAGTTTATTTTTTTTTTCTTGTCATTCAACACAAGCTCGAATCATCTGAGAGAAGGAACCCTCAACTGAGAAAATACTTCCCTCAGATTAACTTGTAAGCAAGGCTGTGCGGCGTCCTCTTGATTAATGATTAATGCAGGAGGGCCATGCCCACAGTGGAAAGTGTCACCCGTGGGTAGGTGGTCCTGAGCTGCATAAGAAAACAGAGTAAGCAACCTGTGTGGAACAAGCCAGTAAGCAGCGACCCTCCATGGCCTCTGCTTCAGTTCCTACCTCCAGGTTACCTTCCCTGCTTGGGTCCCCGCCCCCGCTTTGTTAGTGATGGAGTGTTGTCTGGAAGTGTACAATGAAACGAGCCATTTCGTCTTCAGTTGCTTTTGGTCGTGGTGTTTGTCAGAGTGATAGAAACCTAAGGTAAGAAGACAAACCGCGGTGTGGCCAGGCGATAGAGCTCCGCGTTTGCCAAGAGGGAAATAGCCCTGTTGTGTGAGAAGTGCAGCCAGCAATGGCCCTGCCAGCACTGCACACCCAAGGGAGATTCTGTCATATGAATTAAGTACTAATCGTTTCAAAATCATCTCTAGATTTTTTTTTAATATCTAAAAGGTCAGTAGATTTTTAAGAAGTTCCTGTGGACATTTAAAGGAGCCAAATGGCGACATGTACTGGATGTTTGTACCCTTCCAAACTTTTTCAATGGGTGTCCGAATTCCCAGTGTGATGGTGTTTGTGAGTAAGGATCTCTGCGGGGATGTACAAGTGACGTTTCTGTCACTGTGATAAAATGCCACAATCAAGGCGACTTACTAACAACAGCATTTTATTAGGGTTAGCAGTTTCATGAGAGTTAGGCCACGGCAGCAAGACCAGCTAAGAGTTCATACCTCAGAACTGTAGGCAGGAGGCAGAGAGCACATTAGAAATGGCAATAGTCCTTTAAAGCCTCAAGTCACCCCCAGTGACACACCTCCTCCAAGGTCACACCTCCTAACCCTTCCCAAACAGTTCCATCAACGGGAGACGGAGTATTCAAACAGATGAGTCTATGGAGGCTGTTCTCACTCACACCACTACAGACACTACAAAACTTGAGCGCTCACAAATTCTATCAGTACTCTTTTTATTTTTTGTTTTTTAGAGACCGGGTTTCTCTGTAGCTTTGGTGCATGTCCTGGAACTTGCTCTGTAGATCAGGCAAGCCTCGAACTCATAGAGATCCACCTGTCTCTGCCTCCCGAGTGCTGGGATTAAAGGTGTGCGCCAACACTGCCCTGCTTTATATCAGTGTTCTTATAAGAAGTAAAAAGAGAGAGCTAATCTCTCTGTCATGTCTAGATATAGCAAGAAGTCATTTGTTTGCAAAGTAAGAAGGGCCGTGCTAGGAATCTTATAATTCTTAGCCTTCAGAACCGTAACAAATACATTTCTGCTGTTTAAGGCATCAAGTCTATAGTATTTCTGTTACAGTATCTCAAACTGCTCTGCTACAAAGTAAATGAAGATTGACTTTGCTTTTTAACCATGGCTTTTATTACTTACAGCTCTCAAAGCTGCAGAAGGAGAAATCAAACTTGCAATATCAGCTTCGTGACTATGAAGATCGAATTGGTTCCATGACTTCTCACCTTAAAAATGTGAATCAGGAATTTTCATTCACACAGGTACAGAAATATTGACACGTGTTGAAAGTGCCAGGTGAGATATTCACCCTCCGTATGGAAATAATTATCTATTATAAGTAGAACATGTGATTAATTCAATATAAATACTCTTTTCTCAATTAGTTATAACCAATATTTCTTACTTTTTGGTAAGGGATGAGTTTTAGTTTCCAGCTTTCACCTTATAGATTTCCTTTCCTTAGTTTATGCCATGTGATATCTGAACTCCTGACAGTGGAACTCTGGGAAGTATATGGCTAACCTCCTCATTGGTGGTGAGCGACGGCTAGTCACAGGGTAACGTGGGGGCGAGCCTACCCTGGCGGAGTGAGCACTGGGTTGGGGTGTTTCATCTAGAGGCTTGCTATACATTATGTTGTAGAATTGTCACGTGCTTCTGTTTTGTTCCTTGTTCTTCAGGCTCTTTACAAAGCAAGGGAGAATGAGATTCAAAGTGAAGAACATTTTAAGGCCATTGCTGAAAGAGAGCTGGGACGGGTCAAGGACGAGATCCAACTACTGGAGAAGGAGTTGGCGACCATCCACGAACGCAAGAGCGATAAGGAAGTGGGTGTGACTTGCTACAGTCCTGCTTCTGCGCCTGCGCTCTCCAGGGAGCGCAAACTTTCCTGTGATTTACATTTTTTTTTTTTTTGACCGTGAAAAGACATGGAGCACGTGGTTTGAATGAACAAATGATCAAATGTTTCTGCTTTTTGTTCGTTTGTTTGGTTTTGGTTTTTGTGACCGAGTTTCTCTCTGAAACGGTCCTCACTGTCCTGGATCTCACTCTGTAGACAAGGCTGGCCTTGAACTCACAGAGATACGTGGGCCTCTGCCTCCCACGTGCTGGGATTGAAAGCATGCGCCACCACCGCCCAGCCTGCTGTTATTCTTTATCTGATTTCCTTCCAGTATAGTGAGGTCTGCTCACAGGTGCAGGAGGCACTATTAACAGACACAGCACTTTGGGTTTTAAATTTCATACCCATTGGTCTGCTTTGGAACCTCTCTTGTTTAGCATCTCTGTTGCTGTGATAAAACACAGGCAGTTTGGGAGAGGGTTTATTTGGTTTACATGTACTGAACTCTCTGGGCAAGTCTGACTCTGAGAAGTCAGGGCAAGAACTCAAGCCTGAGCAGCAGGGGTGGGGGGAGGGGAAGACAGGGGACTCTCCAGACTGGCTTGCTTCCAGACTCTCATTCATCTGCCTTTCTTATACTTCCTGGGGACACCACCCACAGTGTGGTGGCCCCTTCCACACCAGTCGCTAATCAATAACATGCATATACATTCACATGCATATTTTGGTTTTGTAATGTAACATTTGTATATGCAGTTTGAATAGCATGTACTGACCTTACACATCCATTCTCTGCTTTCCTTTGTGATTATAGATTCCTTAAGTGACAACATTTACAGAAGTAATTTATCATCTACACTATATTTACTTCAATTAGAAATGTTTCCAAATCTGTATAGAAGGGGCCCCTTTAGGGTGGCAGATATGACTGGAAATGGTCTGAGGGCACTTGTTATGGGTTTTAGCAAGTATGCCAAGCAAGTTACTGACTGACTCATATAGTCGTACTTATTTGGGGTGACTTTGGTGGGGGATCTCATGAGTTCTATGTGAGAGAAATACCCTCAAGCCTTTTCACAAGGACTTTGGTTTAACCACGGTGCTTGACCATGTACGATCATCTCTGTTTTGCAACTGGAGAATTAAAATACAAACATGGTTGTGATAGATTTGAACATGCCATGCCATATGGAAGGCTGAGACATGGGTTCTGCAACTGTTTAGTAGTATAATCTATGTTTTATTTTAGTTTGCATAATAAATGATGTTTTGTCACCACCTTTTCTCTCCCATTCCTTGGAAATTAGAACGGCATATTTAAAGCCACCCAAAAGCTGGATGGCCTGAAATGTCAGATGAACTGGGACCAGCAAGCACTGGAGGCCTGGCTGGAGGAGTCAGCTCACAAAGACAGCGACTCTCTCACCCTTCAGAAGTACGCACGGCAAGACGATAACAAAATCAGGGTGAGCTGTTAGAAACTGCCAGAACCGCTTTGCTCTGAGTCACTTTTAAGACAAGAAGTTGCAGTGATCGATTTTAAAAGCAACTGTCCTTGAAGATTTGCACCAGGGTCTCCAATTGAAATCACGTGTCAAGTCCCTAGAGCAATGGCTGCAGTCAAATCCTACAGCGTGTTGCTGACTCTGGGTTGCTCATCCTCTGAAGTCCGATGACCCACTGGGGAACTGGTTAGGACTTCAAAGGACTGTCTAAATCATCTTAGGGAAGAAAATTCTAGTCATACTGAACTATTAATTAATTTGGATACTTTGTTTTACATTTAATTTGAATATTGCATGTAAGTTCTACCTGTTTAATATTTTTTCATTTGAAAATAGGATTTATTATTCAAAGTGTCCCAGTTTCCTATCTCTTTGGATGAAAATATGTTTACAATCTGAAAAGGAGACAACATTTTACTGATGTAATGTTTCAACTAATCTTATTTGGGCATCGGTGAGACGGCTCAGTGGGAAATGTTTGGGGTGTGCAGGACTGGTAACCTCATCTTGATCATCATATGAAGATAGAAAAAAGTAGACCCCCCCAAAGTTGTCTTCCAGCCTCTACATATCTGTCATGGCCTAAAAGCCACAATCATATTACACACACACACACACACACACACACACACACACACACACACCCCAAAATTGTTTTTATAAAGAATAAATCTCATTGCATCTCTGGATAACTCCCTTTGAAGGCGCTACTTCGAGATGACATGCCAAACAGATCACTAGTGGGGACATTAGGAAGCATGGAGCACCAGAAAGGCTATACATATCCATTCAGCATCAAGCTATGCTATGAGATGTGCAGTTGGTTGCTGATTATCCTACTTTATTACATTGATTTGAGTTAATACTACAATTGATAAGTTATTGTAATATTATATAAAATCTACTTAGAATCTTTTTACTGGTGATAATGAAGTTAGTATCACAAACATACTATTCTCTAGCAGATTAAATACAGATGCACTATTTTAAGTATTTTCAAATGCCAGGTTGTATTTGTCTTTTTCCCCTAATTCATTACAAAATCCATCTTAGAAATAAGTGCATTTTCATAAGGGTATGTTCAAACAGAAGATTAAACCTTGGGGCTAGACAATAAGAAAAATACATATTATCTTATACTGTTTATCTGGTACATATATACATTATACATAAGGCATAATGATACAGAATGTTAGTTATGCTTTATGCCAATTTTAAAACTGAAATAACTGACTGTTAAAAATATTTTCCATGTCCCACACCACAGGCCCTGACCCTCAACTTGGAAAGGCTGACTCTGGAGTGCAACAAGAAAAGGAAGCTTCTAGACGGTGAACTAACGGAGACATTGAGTGCACAGGTTGGTTTACAGAGCCTTCCTAATTTTCAAGGTGGTGTTGGCAAAGGCATTGTATTAATGGACGTGTAATCTTCTCTCTGTCTGACAGTTAGAATTAGATAAAGCTGCGCAGGACTTCCGGAAGATTCACCTAGAACGACAAGAGCTCATCCAGCAGTGGGAGGGCACCATCGAGCAGATGCAGAAGCGGGATCAGGAGATTGACAGCTGTGCCCTGGTGAGTGGTCCGCAACTCTGAGGCCCTGCAGATCCTGCAGTGCTAAGCTCGACTTCTCCCACTCCTGCTCCGCACATCAGTTTAAATGTACATCATAGTCAAGTGTGGAGGTGCAAGCTTTTAATCTCAGCACTAGGGAGGCAGAGGCAGGCGGATCTCTGTGAGTTCGAGGCTGGCCTGGTCTACAGAGTGAGTTCCAAGACTTTCAGGACTTCATAGAGAGATCCCATCTCAAAACAAAATGAACACAAACAACCGCCACCATCAACAACAAAATAAAATATATATTATATTGCTATGTTTATATTATACTTCAATGGTTCTGGCAAATGTGGCTCTATGGAGATTTTTTTTTTTTTTTTGCTTATAGTATTATTATCCTTGAGGTTTGAGACTTCCTGCCAGAAATCCTGACCCATGATTGTGGTAACTTGGGTTTCACATGTTGCTGTTTGGCACTAAGTTCTAGGTGTGTAGAAATGGCTGTGGCAGATAATGCAGGCAAGGAAGTGGGTACAGGGGAGAAGCTTGGCTGCCAGGGGAGTCCAGTTTTGAAGCTGTGGAGCCAATGGTGAATCAAAGCTCAAAGAGGGCAGGAATGGTTTGGTTCAGGCCCAGGACCATCACTCCCAGGTGGATTGAGGAGACAATTTGGTGCAAATCAATAGAGACCTTGGTGGAAGCGGCAGGAAGCTCAGGGGGTGAACAGAAGAAATCTAGGAAAGCAAGCAGGGAGGGAGAGGAGAGCAGAGGTTGGGCTTCTGAGAGCTGAATGTGGTTTATTTTAGCGCCTGTTTTATTGACAGAAGGGCCATGCCCCTCTAGCAAGAATTACAGAGAACCGTTCTGGCTTTATAGCTGCAGTCCCTGAAGGTTGGAGCCAGTGTTTTCTCTGAGTGAATATTAAAATCAAGTGTCGTTTCTACAGAAAAAGGCTGCAGGTAGATGCCACGTCATGCACACTCTTCATTCTGGAGACTGATACCAGTGTCCATTTTTTTAGTTCCTATTACTTTCAAATCTGCAGTCCTGGTTGTTTCCTTACGTGAGCCAAACAGGTCCAAGATCACAGCTGTCTGGTCAGCGCTGGCGCAGAGCGCAGACGAGTCGGTTTAGGCTTTTCTTCTCTTCTCTTCTCTTCTCTTCTCTTCTCTTCTCTTCTCTTCTCTTCTCTTCTCTTCTCTTCTCTTCTC